CAGTTAATTGATAACAAAAATCTTAAAGTTTAATATTTTTAAACTATTCTCATATTTATCCTAAGTTGATTAAAAATCTTCTCCTATATAAACACATTCCATAGTGGTGTCCAGGGTTTCTTATTCCTTCTAGCCAGAAAATAGTACTTTTACCACATCTAAATCTCTTCTATGCAGTTATATTATCTTGTCTTTCCTCATCTTTAGAAGAAAGCAGGGTAACTTCTTTTTATCAACTTAAATTACATATATATCTATGTGTTGTTTGTGAATATATGTACATATTTATATATTACTTTAACGTTGTGTTTAAATCACTCATTACCTTGTTCACTCTAGACGAGCTATGATCAGCCTTCAATAGCACCTACTTTCTATTATATTAATTCCAAATGCCCTTTGTTTTACCTTCACTCTGCTGCCTGTCTTTTGGCCCCTTAACCCCTTCATAGCAGGTAGAGACTGGGTAATAAACACACTAAAGTATAGTGATTCCCTCATTCTCTTCTGTTCCCACCTGTTCCTGTTTAATGCATTGTGCTCCCCTCAAGCTTTATAGTAGCCGGGATTTCAGAACCAGTATTTTTACTGTTTGCAAATACAATTAGAAAAGGAGAGGATTCTTTTGTAAACATGTATGTATGTTTTGCTTTTTTCTCTTAGGAGAAGTCCCTTCCTGGTGTTGTGATGGCACTTGTATGCAATGTATTTGACATGCTTTACCAGCTTGCCAATCTAGAGGAGCCAAGGTAAATATGAATATTTGTGGAGCTTAAAAAAGAAAGTTATTAAGGTTAGGGAATCAACTAACTTTTCACTTGAAGTGTAATTTACCAAACATTCCTTACTAAATGACTTTGTTAATGAAACCGTGGCTTTTGTGAAAAAATTTCTATTTGAAAAATTTCAGGATAACTCTACGAGTACGAAAGCTTCTGCTCTTGATACCCACTGATCCAGCCATTCAGGAAGCCCTTGATCAACTTGATTCTTTAGGAAGAAAGGTATGAGTGTAATGGACACTTAAGTGACTGGCATAGAAGTTTTATACGACAATTCTGTGAACATTCAACATGAAATCACATTCAGGCCACGTGATACCATCTTTCCCATAAAATTTTTCCTGTTTTTGAAAAATGCCTTTGCCCTGAATGAAAATCAAGACTTCATGTTGGCTTTTAAAGTATTTAGGTAGAGTTGATAAGGACATCATATTTTAGAACTGAAAGAACCTTTAATATCATCTACTTCTACCCTTCCCACGTATTTATTAGGAAACCGAAGCCCAGAGAGAGGGAATGACTTATCCATGATCAGACTTTAATTCTGGTTTGTTTGAGATGTTTCTCTTCTGTGTCATGATTTTTCTCTAAATGTGATCGTTGCGTACGTTGGAGTTCCTTGCAGAAATGGATTAGCGTTTAATTTTTTCACAGTTGATATTTTAAGTTTATTTTGTTCAATTTTTAGAAAGTTGGTCCTTAAAAGTTTTATATATATTAAAATTGTGTTTTATCTATAATATTATTTAATTATGTTCTCAGAGTAAATCATTTAGAACAAAGTCAGTAGTATTGGTAAGTTGTATGTTTTATATTTCAAGGGTTGACATTTAGATCAGCCGATAGTCTTGTCACATGTAGTTTATATATTTATTTGAGGGAGAAGAGAACTAAAGTAATTATAAGAAGTATCACTAATTTTAGCTTTAAAAACTTCTGAAGACTTCAGTAATTTTTATAATTTTCTTATCAATATTTGATGTACACATTTTTAAAACGCTGAGTCTAATTAAAATGATCTTGCTGGGGTTGCCTAGAATATATTCTCAAAGACCTTCATGTAGTATTTGAATATTGTTGATCACTTTTAATTTGTGTGATAAAGTTTATTGTTTTGTTATTATAGTGATGTGTTTTTAGGTTAATTTTTTTTTAATTTCATTTTCTAAATAGCTTATGTTAAAGAAGACAAGAATATTAGAATATGTACTGAGATCTGTTTCTCTTTAATTTGTGCATTTAAAACATATATTCCGTTTTTTGTTCTTTTAAACTTAGAAAACATTGCTATCTGAATCAAGTTCTCAGTCTTCAAAATCCCCTTCCCTTTCTTCAAAGCAACAGCATCAGCCTAGTGCCAGTTCAATTTTAGAAAGTCTATTTCGATCTTTTGCTCCGGGAATGTCCACCTTCAGAGTGCTTTACAACTTAGAAGTAAGAAACCTAATTTCATTTCATTTTTGGTTTGACAGATCCATTTTGGTTTCAGATTCTCACTTTCAGAAATAAGTATGTTGGTTTCTGTTATTGTAAGATGATCTGTTAGAAAATGAGTTTTGAAAAAAATAGAACATAAATTAAAACATTTTATCGTTTTTGAAATGCTCAGTTGTTTTCAGTTTATACTTATGTGCACTATTATGCTTGCAAAATAGCATCTAAATAAATAATTGTTGTTGTTGTTGTTGGTTGCCTTCAAGTAGGTTCCAACTCATGCTAAACCCCATGTGTGTCAGAGTAGAACTGTACTCCAGAGGGTTTTCAGTGGCTGCATTTTCAGAAGTTATTAAACACATCCCAATTTTTTTTAAATCTATTATAATTTGTTGATGTCGTTAGTTGCTGTCTAGTCAGCTCCAACTCATGGCGACCTTAAACATAACAGAATGAGATGTTGCCCGGTCCTGTGCCATCTCCATGATCTTGTTATCTGTAACGCTTTCATTGGCTAATTTTAGATTGCCAGGCTTTTCTTCCTAGTCTGTCTTGGTCTGGAAGCTCTGCTAAAACCTGTCCACCATAGATGACCCTGCTGGTATTTGAAATACCAGTGGCATAGCTTCCAGCATCATAGCAACACACAAGCCACCACAGTACGACAAACTGACAGATGCATGGTAGCTCTTGACATTAATGAAGCTTTATGAGGAATTTGTTGGTAAGCATGCTAACATTATTATCTCAGGGTGGTCCAAACAATCCTCTGAGGTAGTATATACTGTCCGCATTTTGCTGGTAACTGAGGCAAAAGGGAAAATCACATGTCTCTCAGCTAGTAGGTGGTAAAACTGGAGTGTAGACTAGATTTGTAGTCTGGTACTGTAGTATGATTATTTATGTGAAATAATTCTCTGCCTTGCCAGGATATCCATGTAATCTTTCCTTTAGGTAGGCATTGCAGTGTCAGATGTACCTGGATTTGAATTATAGCCTCATGACCTTGAGGTCACTTCACCTCTCCAGTCATAGTGAGATTAAGAAATAATGCATGTTAGCAGCTTATCTTATGCCTAGTGCATGATAAACCAAACTGGTTGCCATCCAGTTGATTCCGACTTATAGCAATCATATAGGACAGAGTAGAACTGCCCCATAGGGTTTCCACGGCTGTAATCTTTATGGAAGCGGAGTGTGCCGCATCTTTCTCCCATGGAGTGGCTAGTGGGTTTGAACAGCCGACCTTTCATTTAGCAGCCAA